TTATAGCAGATAAGTATTCCTCTTGGCACTTTTCATTTTTGGGGGGGATTTTGAAAATTAAGATAGATTGGTAGAGTTAAAATAATATTTTTTGGACTATTTGCAAAAAGCTGATATTAAAGTGGCATAAGAAAGTTAACAATAGGGAAAAGGGGTGATTTTATTTTTTTTATTTTTTTCCCCCTAGTTTATCTTTTCAAGAATCAGCTTTGTAAAATCACAGCTACTTTAACAGGGATCCACTTCTCCATGAGAAAGTTTTTTAGTTTAATGTAAACAATCAGGCAATTAGGTGGGATTATATTTCAAAGGGGAATGACAATCAGTTTGGTTTATTTTTAGCCTAGCTCTTCCTTAATAGAGTCACCTGCAGGCAATTGCCTGTAATTTCCCTTTTTAACCATTTTTTTTTTTAAAGCAACTTTACAACCAATCCTCACATTTATGACCTTCGCAGGCCTGTAAAGCAAAAGAAAGCTGAAGTAAGATTGTAAGCACAGTCAGTTTCACTTAGTGACCACTTTGCTTAATGACCAAGTTGCTGGTCCCAATTGTGGTCACTAAATGAGGACTACCTGTGTAGGGAAAAATGGAATAAATGATCCCTAGCAATTAAAAAGCAACTTCCAAATTTGCTTGAAGGTTTTTAACAGCATTTAATGAAACTCCTAGCTGTTCATGACATTATTTACCTTTACTGTAAGTCTTTTCTTGGCGCCTCTCAAGTTGTGCTGGATTGTGCACAGGGGTGCTAACAATTAGACTAGATGCATCCAGAACACCAGGCTCTTTTTGTAGATTGTTCAGAGACTAAGAAAAAAAATACGTGTCACTTCTGTACTCTGTAGATAAAGCAAATTCCTCTTACAATATTCTCCCATTTCTGGGCTCTAATTTTAAGATGACTACATGTGTCAAGGTGCTACTTGATTAGAAAAGGCAGGAAAAAAATCAAAGCAGCAGGGCTATCAATGGGAACAAATGCAAGAACTGTTGTTTCTCATTTTGTGAAATAAGTAACTTATGTGTAATATCTAGCCTATCTCACATAAATACGTCCCTGAAGGTGGCAGCTCTTAGCTGACTTTAGTGCTTCTTAGAAAGAGGGACAGTACTTGGGTAGACCACCATCAGTACATCTAAGGCAGTGTTTCTCAACCTTCTCATGCTGGCTGGGGAATTCTGGCAATTGAAGTCTACATATCTTCAAGCTGCCAAGATTGAGAAACACTGATCTAACACTTACCTTGCCTAGGTAAACAGAGATTAAGAATACCCCACAATTTGAAGCAGTAACTTCAGGTTATTTCCTTCAGTTTATAGACACAATAAGTCTTCTTGTATGGTGGTTGATTGTTCACTGTTATATAATCCTAAAGCCCCTTAAATGAGATAATTGAACAAAATTCTTCACAAAAGACACAATAGAAAACAAAAGTGTCAAATAAAAACACCTTCCCAAGATCATATCAGGTATTAAAATGCAGAGTTGAACTTGGAGGCTTAGCGTTATTTATTCTCTGTCCAGTAGATCCCATGCATTTTGATGCACCTAAATCCATTGAATTTGGTGGGATTGGACATGCCCCAATCTCCACAGAATTAAAATCTGTGCATTCCAATAGTTGACCTGAAGCATTAGTCACCCACAACCTTGACTGGATAATTAACTGGAATATAGTAAATCCAACTATCATAGCCTTAGAGATATCTTAAGAATTGTGATCAGAGTTCAGAGAACTACACTGAAGGCAAAAGGCAATCCATCACATAAACCCAACAGGTGCATCTCCAAGACCTTACCTCTCCTAATTCAGCATTCTGTGTCAAAGGCCTAAGAGAGAATTTTGGCAAATATTAGCCATTTCGTTTTTTCCTGTTTTTATTATTTTATTTAAATATACTGTGATCAACAGACATTATTTAAACATACAATTCACAATTCACAAAAAATGTAAGAATAACAGTGTAAAAACAGTGAAAATGTACGTGTGTATATATGTATGTGTATGTATGTGTGTGTATATACACACACATACACATTCTCACACACACAGATAGTCCTCATTTAGCGACCACCTCATTTAACTACTCTTTGCAGTTACGAAGGTGATGAAACAGTAACTTTGTGACCAGTCCTTGCATTTACCACCTTTGCAGGTCTCTAAAGCAAAGGAAAGCTGAAGTAAGATCATAAGCACCGTCATGGTTTCACTTAGCAACTGCTTCACTTAATGCCTGCCATTCCCAATTGTGGTTGCTAAATGAGGACTACCTATGTATCTACATCCACCATACTATTTCCTTTCAGGGAAGCAATGTTATGCAAAACACAGGGGAAAAAATGAAACGTTCTAAGAAAAAGAAATTAAAGGCAGGAGATAACAGGGAAAAAAAGGAAACCTAACTAAACTTCATTTTAGTTTCTAGTTTCCAGCAGCATCATTCACAGTATTCTCCATAACTTTCTATCTTTGCAGGCCATATTTGCTTCCACTACTGATTCATGTATTGTTTTTTCTTTCAACTTACCAGCTCTGACACTTTCAGGATCTCATCAGCAAAATCCTATCTTCCCATTCTTCTTCACCTATTCATTTTTTCTTCATATAGAGTGCATTCGGAAAGTATTCAGGCCCCCTTCACTTTTTTCAATTTTGTTATGTTGCAGTCTGATACTACTGATACTACAATCATTCAAATTCATTTTTTTTTTCATTAATCTACACTCAGTATCCCATAATGACAAAGTGAAAACAGAA